AAAAACTGCATTGACAATTTTATTGCTCTAGTAGAAAAACAGACTGGATACAAATTAAAAATATTAAGGACGGATAACGGAACAGAATTTGTCAACAATGAGGTATGTAAAATGTTGAATAAATATGGAATCGTACATCAAAACTCTATAAGGTACACGCCTCAACAAAACGGTAGGGCTGAACGGGAAATGCGCACAATTGTAGAAGCTGCCAGAACAATGTTGAAAGCAAAGTCAATGACCAAGAGATTTTGGGCAGAAGCTGTGAATACAGCCATTTATGTACTAAATAGAACTGGCCCAAGTCCCGTAAAGAAAAAAACACCGTTTGAACTTTGGACAAACAAATCAGTCGATTTTAATACTTTTCAAGTTTTTGGCAATCGTGTTTCTTTTCACATTCCGAAGGAAATTCGTAAGAAGTGGGACGATAAGAACGCGATTGGAATATTTGTGGGATATGAAGAAAATGTAAAAGGATATCGTGTTTATGTTCCTGAAAAAGACGATGTTATTTTGACCAGGGATATAATTTTGCTGTCAAATACAGATATCGAAGAAACAAAGACGGAACGGCCGAGTTCACGCGTAATTGACTCTACTGATAGTAATAATTGTGAAATTGAGGAAAATGAAAAAGAAGTAGAGGTTGAAAGGATGGAAACAAGAATAAATAATAGTCAACTCGAAACAGTTACCAACGAAGAATCTGTAGAAACAATTGATATCGAGCAAAGTCAACAAAGCGAACAAAGGAGATTGAGAGATCGTAGTAAGATTCGACCACCACAAAGATATGAAGACTCAGAAATGTATAGTGTACTTCATTTTGCCGAAGTATTTGAACCTAAGTCTTATGAAGAAGCAATTAACGGCAATGAAGCTGATAAGTGGATTGATGCAATGGAGAAGGAAATATCATCCCTTGCGGAGAATAACACGTGGACTGTTGTTCCCAAGCCGGCTGATTGCAAGCCAGTTGATACCAAATGGCTTTTTAAAATAAAGAAAGGCGAAGACGGAAATAAGTTTTTTAAGGCGCGTTTAGTAGCTCGTGGTTTCAAACAAAAAGAATTTGTATCGGCATCCGAAGTTTACTCGCCGGTCGCACAGCTCACAACTTTCAGAATGTTTGTTGCAATAAGTGTGAAATTGGGAATTAAACAGCATCAAATGGACGTCTGTACGGCTTTCCTTAATGGTAAGATAAATGAACTTGTGTATGTGAGTTTGCCTGTGAATTTTAATATAGAAAGTGATAAAGTATGTAAATTAAATCGAGCTCTGTACGGTCTTAAAAAGTCGCCTAAGTATTGGTATGACACATTAGATGACACTTTAAGAAAATATGGTTTTACAGCCAGTAAAAATGATTATTGTTTTTATTATAAAGTGAGTAACAGTATTAAAACTTATTTCATGGTGTACGTCGATGATTTCCTAATTATGTCGACAGACAATAATGAATTGCTCAATATAAAGAACTATTTACAGAAATGTTTTAAAGTTAAAGATCTAGGTATTGCTAAGTGCTATCTTGGCATAAATGTGTTACAGAACGGTGACCATACAGTTTTAAGCCAAACAGAATATATCGCAGGATTATTACGGAAATTTAACATGCATGAGTGTAAGCCGGTGTCCACACCGATGGACCAAAGTGTAAAACACAGTTTACTGAAATTACATATGTCTGAAAACGAAGCCATCGAAATTAAATGTAGAAAAGCTATCGGTGCAATTATGTATTGTATGTTAGCCACGAGACCAGATTTAGCTAATAGTATGTCAATACTGAGTCGTTACCAATCTTGCGCTTCTGAAGAATTATGGACAGCTATTAAGAGAGTTTTACGTTATTTAAAAGGAACTATGGAGTTAGGGTTAATATTTCATAAAAAATATTCTGATTCTTTTATTGAAGGTTATGTAGATTCAGATTGGGCAGGTGACCTGCTAGACCGTAAGTCTACAACTGGTTACGTATTTAAAGTTTTTGGGTGTACTGTAAGCTGGCTTTCTAAAAAGCAACAGTGTGTAGCTTTATCGTCTACTGAGGCTGAGTACATGGCACTCAGTCAAGCTTGTACTCAAGCTGCGTGGTTATGTAAAATGTTAGAAGATACATTCTTGTATGATAAAATGCCTAGCACAATTTTGTACGAGGATAATCAGGGTGCAATTAAAATAGCTGAGAGTTTAGATTCAAAGCGTCTTAAGCACATAGATATTAGGCACAATTATATCCGAGAACAAGTACATAAAGGAGCTGTCGTTTTGAGGTACATTGATAGCAAGGAACAGTTAGCCGATATCTTTACAAAACCTCTTGACAGAATGCTTTTTGAAAAATTTAGAATAATGCTAGGGCTGTGTTGAGTTCAGTTTTGTTTATAAGTAAGAGGTCCCCCCCCTTACATTTATTAATTAAGTTTTCATTAAGAGGGGGTGTTAGAGGTAATGAAACCTCATTTGAGAATACCTGCGTGTATGTGGAGTCGGGTAAAAAAAAAGGAAATACTTTGACTCCTATCATTTTCAAAATGTGGAACCAATATAAAATGTATAAGATTTTTGAATAAAATATTTAATAATTACTTCTCGGGCGTGAGTGTTTTCTTTCAAAAACCAACCATGAAAATAATTGCTCCTTAAGAAACTTTAGGCGCTATTTATAAAAATGAATTTTCATGCGTGAACAGCCACCCTTAGAGGTGGATGATTTCCTTCAAAATGAAATGGGACCACTATGAAAGTACCCCCTTTCCAACAAAAAAAGAATCATAAAAATCGGTTCACAAATACCGGAGTTATCGCGTAACATACATACAAAAAAAACATACAGTCGAATTGAGAACCTCCTTTTTTTTGAAGTCGGTTATAAACGACTTTGAATAACGTTCTAAGGTCAAGTAAACATTTGTATCCAATGATCTTATATTGTTTGTATAAAATCAATATATATATTTTTTCGACTCCAAAAGTGTGTGGAGTAAGGAGTAAAATTTATTTGTAAAGATTTACTGAAACCGGGTAACGGGAAGTGGGCGAAATCGAATATGCCGAATTCATCACCTAATATGCCACCCTTAGAGGTGGAATGTTTTCTTCAAATTCGAACGGGACCACTACTAAGGTCCTTTCCAACAAAATTAGAATCATCGAAATCGGTTTACAAATGGACGTAGTTAAACAAAAAGGATCCAATGCACATCCAGTCGCTTTCGAGATATGGCAGTTTGAAGTTTAAAATTGTTTCTCACTGTTGTTTTATTTTCAAAACCTATAATGTCAAGTAACTCCAGAGATTTGTGCGTACTTACGAGGACAAATTTAAAGACGTCGATATCTTCTTTATGAACCGCAACAAATTTATTCAGTCTTTGAAGGAACACCCCCACTTTAAAAGGTAATTATTGTTATACAAACAGAGCACATATACACACTCACACATATACACAAACGCATTCACACATATACACATACACCTTCACACAAGTAGACACACAAATGCGCATACTCTTACTATAGTCCATTTGTTTATTATAGTTAGTAATTAAAAAACTAATGTCTAAATCTATTAATACAACGGTATTCAGTTATAATATGTTATCAATATGTATTTCATTTTGTTAGATTGTTCTTTGATAAACAATATTTTAAGACGCTTCGTTCTGGCATCAAATTAGTTTTTATGTAACGTAAATAAATTAATTGTAATGTGACAAACTTTGTAATTGGCTACGTAAGTAGATTATTCATAATTGTAAACCAAATTTAAAAACTGTAAAGTTTACAAATAAATAAATAAATAAAATATTTATTTATGTTTATATGTTGGATTTTTTTGCTGATCTAAGAGGTTACACTTTAGGAATCGTTTGGTACATATAACTCATTTTTTGATAATTTTGTGAGTTGGATCCTTTTTGCTTAACTACATCCAAACATCGGAGTATTCGCGTAAGGACGTGTTCCCATTGTCGTAACGTTTTATTTATTGTTGGACGACTGTCGAGACTGTGTCGTGAATGTTTATTTTATAGTTCAATGACTGTCGTGTCTAGCTGTTCCCATTAGATTGTGAGGACAATTTATTGGTTCACGTATCGGTGGCCGCCTTGTCGTTTGCACGACAGAATCGTTTGAAGCTGCGATTATCTGTCGTCACATTTTTATCGTTTGACGGCTGTCGTTTTAGCTCTTCCCAGACGACAGTCTGTCGTCTTAATGTCAAAAAGTCGTGAATGACAGTTAATCGTGTTTGACTATATGTGAACAACTTCATTTAAATATACAAGCCACATTGACTTACAAATAAATGGACGACAGGTCTAATACAAAAACTACGAAAAAAATGTCCCAAATCAACCTGTTCGAAATTTAAATTGTAATGTCATCGCAGTATCGCGCTGTCAGTAGAACAAATGAAGACTAAAGCGGAGTTTGGCGCTCTGTATACGATTTTAGCGCCTTACAAGTGCGGACACTTTTTAGCGCGGACCCGACGTCCATATAATTGTAAGTCAATGACAAGCCACGACACTTTAAACTACACGACCATCTGTCGGCATGACGTAATGGGAACGCGTCCTAACAAAACAAGTCGAATTAGAACCTCCTTCTTTACTTAAAAGTCCGTGAAAATATATTTTTTACACACCTTGACCAATTCCTTGAGCCTTTCTCGATTGTAATGTGTTCCAATTTCTTCTCCAAGGAAGTAGTCGAGCAGCTTGCTTGTCGGCCACGCGAGGGGAGCACAAATGCCCATTACAATCTGTTTAAAAGAAACATATATCAATGACATGGATAATAAACAATTATTTAAAAACTAAAATCTTCTGTAACCTGGGTTAATTCCATAAATCCCCACTAAAAAAAATTCCAACCGATGGGGATTTTAAAATTTTATTAAATTTCATTTCTCATTTCACTAATACTAAAATCTTTTACAATTTTAAATTAATTTAGTACTTTGTATTCAATATTTGACCGAATGACTTTTTTACGCTTTCAGGAGCGAAAATCTTTCTATTAGGCATTTAAGAATAATTTAATATTTTAAAGAAAGTTCTAAACTGCATTTTAATTTAAAAAATGTGTCGTCTTGCTGACGTGATTATTGGCAATTCCAATAATAATTGTTAAAATGGCTACATATGCCAACACCACAAAAACGAAACGTTGTAAATTTTCTCACATGTGCGCCATTACTTACATTACAAGACGGCAGAATAAATGTTTCATAATTTTACTTTGGTACCATTTTATTGTTGTATCTTCAATATCAGCCTCTCTCCACATAAAGAGTGATATCGAACAGTCCTAGTACATAAGTTTTGTTTATAGTGCCCCACCCTATCAACCACTTGGTTATGCGCGAAGGGCGCTATGACCATCTAAGTCAAGTCCTAACCCCGGATTAGCACGTTACATACCTATAGTGATACAGTGACAGTGGCCTATAGCATGGTATTTTTCCAGAAATCCCCACTGCTGTAGCAAGTACTACGTTAGTAGGAATTTCGGCGTCTTACTTTCTCAAACTCGTATCTTAAAGCACAAAGTTACTGAAATGCAAAAAAATGGATTGTATGTACAAATTTTGCAGGGTGATTTCCCATCACATTATCCTCATATTCACACACTGGCCTTTACCTATTCTTAAAGTAATGTATCCAAATTAACACCCTTGATAAGAAATTTAATAATAATAACGCACACACTCATTCATATGGAGACCCTGTATCGCGAGTGCCATGGACACACACACAGACACCCACAAATTACATCTAAACTCACGAGAGATATAAATGTAGGCCATACAAATATTTCTCCCGGCCCGGGAATCGAACCGGAGTTACATAAAAATAAATAAAAAGTTTTGCTATCTCCTGAATAATCACTCTTTATAAGATACGAGTTCGAGAAAGTAAGGCATCGATGTGTGGAGGAATGAAATTGAATATAGAATCACCAACAAAAAAAATGTTACCAACCTTCATAATCCAGATACTTTTAGCACCAATCAGTAGCCCGTGTCTCGCACAAATAGCTTGAGGCGTAATTTCCGCAATGAACACAATAGCCAATGTAGATCCAATGACAGCCACAAGACCAGACGTCAGATCATCCAGAATTACCGTAAATGTACTGTTCACTGCCACATTACTCAGTAAAATTGTACATAAAAGGTAATTTCCATGGGCACGTACGGGCATGATCGCCCTAGCGTACTTCCTCTCTTTCTCTGTGCCGGTGTTGGCAATAATTTTGAGCTCCGTACGGTCCAGAGCCATTAAACCCAAATTGAGACCGGAGAACAATGATGCCAACATTAGAAGAATGACAATTAGAATTAGGGATGCCCATAAAGGTAATAGTTTGTTATGAGTAGCTAGTATTTTCCATTCTTCTGAGCCTTGGTGTCGGAAGACATGTTCGTCTGTGTTGTTTTTCAAACAGACGTAGAATTTGTAGTCTTTTTCTGGTGGTGGTGCTGTAAGGATGAAGAGGGCAGAGTCTTCTTCTACTACTGATACCTGGAATAAATACAATACTAAATTAGTACAGAGTACTAAAAAACGACCTTAAAAGTTCGTGGATATGACATCTATTTGCCAAGTTTTATTGAAATAGGCTACCGGAAAGTGCGCAAAACCGGATCCCCTAGTTTGCCAGCCTTAGAGGTGGGATATTTTTTTCAAATTTAAATGGGATCAATAATGAGGTAACCTCTTTCCAACAAAAAAGAATCATCAAAATAGGTTCACAAGTTTATAAATGCACAAAGTCGATAACGTCGTAACGTACATTAAAAAAAAACATTCGAATTAAGAACCTACTCTCATAGATGGCGCTACGACTAAAAAGTCGTTGAAAGACCAAGTACAAAGACACGACGCAAGCACATAGAAAAATTCGTGAGGTCCGTTGGTTCGTTCCGTGGCTTAGACCGTGCCAGACGACGTCGGTTCGAATCCGACCGGATCGAAGGGATTTTTTCTGAGTGTTTTTTCTGAGTGTTCGATCTTTGTATTAATAATTTTTTTGTATTAATAAACCTACTCCTTTTTTTTTAAGTCGGTTTAAAAACATTAAATTGGACAACATCACATAAGTTGCTCTGATCCCTCAGTACAGTAACTAAAGCACTTGTGTTATGGAAATCGAAATGAAGGTACCACAGACACACAGATCCGAGACAATACAGAAAAGTTGGTATTTCTACATTGACCCGGCTGGGAACCCGGGACCTCAAGATGGCGACACCATGAAAACCGGTAGGTATGCAAGCCACTTGACCACAGAGGTCGTCAAATATTCGGTTGTCAATCTGAATCTATATTGCCACCATTTGTAACCATAGCATGCAGACGGCAACACATTAAGCTACACACTGACGGATGTTGTTCTATTGCACTGGAGGCGGCGACATTCGAACAAAAGTGCATAGGTTGTGCTGTGACTGTACTGTACGTAAATTGTGTGACGTACAAATTAAGTACGAACCAAAAATCGGATTGCAGTAAAAGAAAGCCTTGTGAAAAATTTCCTGAACGAAAAAGTACTGCTACCTTACCTTTACCTGCCACCAAGCGGTAACGTTCCGGTTTTGAAGGGTAAGGGTGCTGGTGAAATTACAGGCACATGGGACTTGTCAACTTATGTCTCAGGATGACGGGCGCAGTGGCAGTGCCCCTCAGATCTTTGCGATTTAACTTTGAGTGGCACTGCAACTGCTACGGACAGTCTTGTCGCTTACCACCAGACGCGTCTTCCGGAGAACACTCGCGCAATTCTCGGGAATTCCCGAAGGTACCGCATCGTATGTATATAAAGGTCAATATGGCATGTACAATTTCGTTACAAAAATACGCTTCTTTACTTTAATATCATAAAAAAACTTACACCAAAGTCCATGCCATCCAAAAGGTGGTCACAGACACTCCCAAAGTCTTGAACCGTATGTGTAAACGAAATTCTCGTATTTTTGGTAAAACCGTCACCGAACAACCTCAAATGGAAGTTGGTTTCTCTTAGTACACTCGGTATCATACCGTCCACAATTTTCGGTTCCTTATCCGCTTCTTCAACCCTCAAACCTTTCATTTTAATCATGGAATAAGTCACAGGTTCTGTGTTCGACGGGACATCACTAGCCAGACTAGAGTTGGAGACGTCGCTGTCATTGAGAGTTTGACGTTTCCATCTCGTTAATAACTTGGCATTGTCGATAAAATCGACACCACTATTAGAGTTATCGTTACCGAATTCGTTAAATTCTATATCACTATTTAATATATTTTCCTGTAATCTTTCTATTTTTGATTGCTGTGGTAAATATGAGAACGTTTCAACGATAACTTCGCTCTGTTTTTGACCATTTTTGTTCACGTCGGTGTCTTTTTGTAAGTTATCTGTATTGATGTTCTCGATATCGGTATCGACATCGTCCGGGTCTATTAGGTTTTGGTTGTCGTCTTCCTCGTCGTTTTCTATTGATCTGCGAAAGAAAAATACTAATTAGTTTATTACAAATACATTTTACTTCCTTAAAACTAAAAAGTTGACATTGTTTAGTAGGAATACTTGTAGCTTTTTCAGACAGGCGCAAGCCGATTACGCGGTGATAAATGTATTGACTCTCCATGCCCTGTTTTAGCGATGGGCGAGTCGAGTTGTTTAACCCGGTATACAACTAGTCAACTCGAGTTACTTTTCCATGAACTCGAGCTAACTCGGTTGACCCGCCCCGCCCGCCGCCGAACCGAATACTTCATTCATACAGCGCATCGGTGACCTTCGGTCACGCTCGAGTCGCGGTCTACCGGCTGATCGCGTCCAACTCGGTGAATCGTCGGTTCGAGTTCTACTCGCGACTTGCGGTTGCTCTGTCAAACACCGAGTCGAGTTAATTCGAGTTGCATTAGCAGTCAAGTTAACTCGAGTAACTCGAGTTGAAACAAATATAACTCGTCCCATTGCTACCCTGTTTTTCAAAAATGGAATAAAATGACAGTTTATTGCGCAAAAGTGTTGCTCGTTAGAAAACAGCTAGTGATTTCAGTCGATAAATCGATGGTCGACGGCTAATAAAGCACATAAATAAAAAACCAACATCATTCATTTAAATCATAGGTTCTCAAACTTTTTGGTTCACTATCTGCATGGCAGTCCGCCACGCAGGCAGGACATTGCTCACAGAATATCCTGTCTATGACTCACGTACTGACTATCGCAGGACGCGTTGCAGGATTTACAGGATTGCAGGATAGCTTACACGCTGCAACTACATTCATAATCCTGCATTGCGTTGCGGACGACGTCTGCAATGCAGGATAATGAATGCCCCCTTTTAGGTAAGATAAACAAAAATTCAACGCTCATACGTATTTTTTTATATTAACTTAACATAAAAATATCACAAGAGGAAAAAAATATGTAGTGTAGTTTATATAGATTTTAAGACTTTCGTGGTTATTCACTAAATGATTATCACTAGTATCATGTTTCTTACCACGGTATGACTTCTTTTTATTTTCCCGATATTTCGGAACGGTTGCACGCTCCATGGTCACGGGTTGACTGAAATATCGGGAAAATAAAAAGAAGTCATACCGTGGTAAGAAACCTGATACTAGTGATAATCATTTAGTGTAGTTTATATGGATAATTCAGGTTCTTTTTTTCAAATGGGCAGAGAAACTATTTTTATTTATTTATTTGGGATAACAATAGCAAATATTGATACTATACAAAAAATTAATTACATATTACGAAGTCATTAACAGTTATCCTCGATTTATACATTAAAAATAAAAACAGAGCACGGGATGTCTAGAAGCATGATAATAATACAAACTATATACAAACATATAAATGTGAAACAAATAAGTAAACTACATACGTACACTTACATACAAACAATACTTACTATACACAATAAAACTTAGTATTAATATTTATTATACACTATACCTACATATGAATAAATTAAACTTAACATTAGATAGGAAATGAAACTTTCTTCTTTTCCGGATTTAAATCGCGGGACCTGTAAAGGGCCCGAAAAGTCGGTTTGTTTGAAAAAACAAATATACCCCATTTAAATCCGGAAAACATTTCCTAAATATAATTATATATCGAAAAATGAAGTCAAAGTCAAAACCAAATAATCATTTATTCCTAGGCAAAATTTTTACACTCGAAAGCGTAATTTTTTAAACTACTGCTCGATTTACTACGCTGACCTCTCTGAGAAGAACGAGCAAGAAACTCTAGGGATTGCTCTTTTCAAATAAACTTAAATGCTATAGAATACATTTTGAATCATATTTGTGTGGAATCTAGACTCACGTTGTCTTTCGATACATCTTTATCTAACACGTAGTCTAGAATTTCGTAATATGACTTTTCATTTAAAATACTTTTAATGTAAGTTTTAAACTTAGGTAATGGTAATCTTATTGTAAAAACGTATACAGTTCTCCATAAAAGAATCGTTTACCTTAGTTAAACGAAATCGTGGTACCATGAGTTTTTCTACTTCTTAATGAAATTATGTATATTTTTACGGGCATACAAAATATTTGAGTAAATGTACTGTGATGCCACAGTCATGATACCAGTCTCCTTAAACTTTTCTCTGAGAGAAATTTGAGAACCTTGACGGTACACAAAACGAATCGCTCGTTTTGGCAACACAAATATGGTTTGTATATATGCCGCTTTACCCCACTTGAGAATTCCGTAGGACATTATACTATAGAAGTAACTAAAGTAAACCAGTCTAGCGGTAGCAACATCGGTAAGATCACGTATTCTACGCACTGCGTATGCAGCAGAGCTTAATCTGCAGCAATCTGAAGCACATTTTTTACTTATGTAATATTATTTGCGGGTTAGCACGTGTAAATTATTCATATTTAACAATCACGTGTATACAAACTTCACGCACTGATTTTGGTACAATGGTCCGACTGTTAAAATAAGAATAAAGAAGGCGACAACGCATTTATTAATCATTACAACGTCGTAACGTTCACTATTAGATGTTTTCAAAATTTTTTTTTTATTTTTCACAATCTATCGATAAATCTGTCGACAACAACTACATGACTATTTAAAATTTTACGGAAATTGGCAACCCTGCAAACGTCGTTTCACTCCGTTCTCACAATATCATTTGAGTTTCGAACTTTGTTACGAAAATGTTCTAATTGAAATTGGGCATTCCGCCAAAACCGACGAGACGCCATTGTTAATTTATTTTCAGAATTCCTCTAACCGCTTTTAACCAGCTGGAAACCGGTTCAATGTGGATATATAATTTGTGTTTAATTGTTCTGTTTGGACAATTGATGTTTTTTTTTGTATGTCAAGGTTTTGTTGATAATTTTACGTGATAATTGATAATAATGTACGGTTTGTACGACACTCACAGTGATTAAACATTATTATGAAATATGTTAAGTGGAATACGTAGTATTTTTAACCGACTAGACCGAACAGATTTTGATGATTCTGTTTTTGTTGGAAAGAGGGTACCTCAGAAGTGATCCCATTTAAATTTGAAGGAAATATTCCACTTTTATTTTGGGTGGCAACTAAGATACCGAGATTATTTTTAACCGACTTCAAAAAAGGAGGAGGTTCTCAATTCGACTGTATGTGCTTTTTTTCCTTTTTTTTTGTATGTATGTTACGCGATAACTCCGGTATTTGTGAACCGATTTTTATGGTTCCATAGTGGTCCCATTTCATTTTGAAGAAAATCATCTACCTCGAAGAGTGGCTGTTCACGCATGAAGATTCATTTTTATAAATGGTGCCTAACTTTAATTTATGAGCAATTACTTTAATGGTTGATTTTGCTATTTCTCCAATTCAAGGCGTTTTTCTCTCTGCATATACTTTGAGTAGTGAGAACCGATTTTTATTATCTTTAGTGTTAAGTCCTGTATAGTGGCGAACTAGGGGATATTTCAATAAAACTTAGCAAATAGACGTAATTTCACGTACTTTTGAGGTCGGTTTTTTTAGGACTCTGTACTGAGATTATTTAAATAGTGATAGACAACATTAATACGATGAATAAAAATAAACAAGCTAATCTTGACAGTCGTTTTACGAAGTCACTTTTTTTTATGATACCCGTGACGGGACGAACAAGTCGTGCGCCTGGTGGTAAGCGACACGCCTGTCCATAACAGATACAGTGCCACTCAGAATTTAAATTGCACAGATCTGAGGGCCACTGTCACAGCGCCCGTCACCCTGAGACATAAGTTGACAAGTCCCATGTGCCTGTAATTTCACCAGCACCCTTACCGTTCGAAGCCGGAAGGCAGAGGGTAGGAAAGGTGGCAGTACTTCCCTGGACGAATTCTTTCACAAATTGCTACTAAAGAATGATGATGTAACAACCCTACACTCCGTGGGACGTGCGGACACAAATGTATGTCTTCATGTCATTGACTTACAATTATATGGACGTCGGGTCGCTGCTAAAAAGTGTCCGAACTTATAGGGCGTTAAAATCGTGTACAAAGCGTCATTCACGCTTTAGTCTTCGTTTGTTCGACTGACAGCGAAGCAAGCAAAATTAGACAGTACTGCGATGACATTACAATTTAAATTCAACGTTTTAGCTTTTTCATATTCCTTTACATGTCACTACGTTTAAATAGGTTGACTTGGGACATTTTTTTCGTGGTTTTTGTATTAGACCCGTCGTCCATTTATTTGTAAGTCAATGCTTCATGTTCTAATTTATAATGTAAGTGATTGATTTTTATGTAATTTGTCAGTTATTTCCTGTAATGCCAGGGTTGTTACTTTAAATATCGTTTTGGGAATATGAACATGCTTGTTTCCTCATGTTTACCTCCAAGGCTAAAAAGCAAAATGTAATGATTCACATATTTCTTATAATTATTTGTAAATACGTCGGGAAAATTCACCGTTACAATTAAGGGGGTTAATTACGACTTAAAAACCGCACAATACCTAAATTTTTTTCGCAAATACATTGAAAATAAAACTAGTTTTTATTCAACTTTAGAACAGGAGTACTTTTTTATGTATTTAAACTAATACACAAAAATAGTATTGGTTTTAGTTACATGTTGAATAAAAGGTGTAACTTTTTTCGTGACAAATCGTTATTGTATCATAAAAAAAGAAAAAACAGAAATACGTTTTTTTTTCACTCCTTGTTTATATTTATTTAAGAACCATCAATCACATAATGTTGCAAACTTAATTTTTTTAATGACTTCAAAAAAGGCGGAAGTTTTCAATTTGAATGTATTTTTATTTTTGTGTGTATGTACGCGACATTTTGTTGATTCGCTTTCACTTTGTTCGTTACATCTATTTGCCAAGTTTTATTGAAATAGGTTAAAGAAAAGTGGGTGAAGTCCAGTGAACCGAATTCATTCCCTAATTTGCCACCCTCAGGTTTACGGTTCACAAATTATCTTATATCTTATATATTATATA